TGAGATCAGTGACAATGACCACCCATCGTTGGTGACCGACGCCCGCGCTCATTGATGAACTTTAGACTTCGCTAATGCTTTCGTTTCCCCGGGTGTAAATAGCCGGGGGGAATTAGTACCCTCGCACGGCGCTTCGCGCCGCCGGCTCGGGGATTATTTGATAGCAAGCGACTGGGGACGAGGCAGTTCGAGAACTAGAAAATACATGCATGCAGAAACCATAGAAATATTAGACCTAGAATGCGTGCTTGGTCACGTGACCGGTGTCCAAACTGAAAACAAAAATGCCCTTATAAATCCGCCATGTTGAATTTGAGTAGGAGTGCAAACTACAAAGTATAAACAAAACTAAAACTATAAAGTTTTCATCGTCAAAACGTTTGGTATTTGTAGTTTGGGGATAGAATTTGAAATATTAAGTTCTTTAAAGACTCAAAGCAAATGTGCCGTTACAAAAACGGTGAAAATCGTGCAGCCTTGTATAAAAAACAAGTAGTTTTTTTGTGTAGTTTCGCGTATAAAATATAACTTACTCATAAAACATTTTTGCAAGCTCTGAACGTAACTGTTTTGCTAATACTTTATAAAATTACGAGATGATAGTTCATTCTTCGTCGGGTTTTGTTTTTCTTCAATCTAACCGAAGTGTTTTCATGTTTTTGAAACAAAAATATTTAGTTGTTGATATTTAAAACTGTAAATCGCCTAAATGATCGTCGAAAACATATGGTTTCAAAAGCGTTGCCTCAAGCTCAAGCAACGTATACAAAAGTATAAAAAGTAGTTGTGTAAGTTTAAAAAGATTATTGAACTCTATTTATATTATAAAACAGTTGAAATATATTTTTTAAAACATACCTATTGAGTTTCAGTTTGTCTTGATTTTTCGTGTTTTGTTTTGGCTTGCACAACAACGTTGAAAATGTATTTTGAAACGACGATTTCTCTATATATTCTGTTCAGAACTATTGCTCTTCGTAAAAAAACCCACGGGAATGGGTTTTCTCCATTAAAAACACTTTTTTTCCACTTCAAGTCTGGATAGAATTGTTTTTGCAAACTTTGTTGAAAAAAACAATTCGCACTCCCGGCACCGCGCGAAATTCCACGCCACAGGAGTCTGGGACTAGCCAAAATGCCCTTATAAATCCGCCATTTTGTGGAGACAAATTTTTTACTGAGAAGAGA